TCTTTCATGATTTTATTTTTTTGCGCTGTATCCATGTTATCAAACATATTCTTCCACTCAGTTTTCGCTCATCTGTCTTTAGTTTTCTTGTATTTTTCTTTGATAGCATTAGTCAATATATTATATTTATAGACTACCTCACAATCTACCTTAGGATTATTCTCTTTAGGTTTTAAATTCTCTTTCACCTGAACTAATTCTTTCTCTTTACAATTAGATCTATCTCTGCGTTTTTTTTTCTTCCTCTTTCTTCACATTCAGGATCCAACGTAACAGCAGGAGAAGGAGACGGTGTGACTGCTTGTTGTTCTTGCGGTATATCAAATTCCTCCAATTTTTTTAGGTTTTCCTACCTTTCCTCCAAAATACTCGGAGAACTTGCGGGTGTATTGAAAAATACATCTCGTACTACTTGCATTCATTTCCTCTGCTCCTGTTTACGCAATTTCCAAATAATTCTGCATTCTTTTGCTCCTCAGGCTGCATACTTGAAATTAACTTTTTGTGTTTATGATAGCTTTCTCAGTTCTTTCTCTTTTTATGGGCACGCTTTAAGCCTCTCTCTGTATCGTCTCGATTTTTCTTTCTCCGACAATCCCATTTTCAAAAAAATTTCAGCACATGGCATTCAAGACCACACCGAGGCATCTAGTCTCAAACTAAGCCGAAGCTTGTACTATACTATGGGTACTAAACATCTGATGAACTCAGATACATGTTCATTAACACAAAAGTTACTATGCGGGATTCAAACCCACTGACCTCTTGGTGTAGAAGCAATAGTCACAACCAATGCACGAATAAATATTTTTTATAGATGTTTATTATCAAAATAATATGATTTGTCCTAAGGACAACCAAAATGTCCTACGGACCACCAATTTCGTTGTCCAAGTGACTGGTTGTCCGTAAGACGTTTTATAAACTTTTGGCTTCCTATTAAATAATAACGTTTTATTGCCTCTTTTCTTACTCTCACAGTAAAATCTAGCTGACACAACATCTAGTACAATATAGTTAATTGTTAAATATTGAGTACTTATGGAATTCTGACGGTTGTCCGCTGGAACGACAATAAGAACACGCACTATCACTTACGGAACTCGCCCGACTGACGCCACGCCTTTGTTGAAATAAAAATGGCGGTAGGACGCGACATCTTCTTAGAGAGACGGCCTACGTACGGCTGAGTACGGCTAACGTATTCAGCCGCCATCTATGTTTTTTTCGCATACTAAATTAGCGGTGGTCCAGGTGACGTTAACTAAGCAAACATTTTTGGGGACACGAGTAAAATAAAATAGTTTGGTAATTTTTATTAACCTTAATAAATACCAATATGTTTTATTAATAGAGTACATACTTGAAAGTGATTTTTTTCAATTACTGAGAATTGTTTCATAGAGTTTTTTTTTGTAAAGGAAATAGTTTTGATGACCTGTTCCCGGAGGACATTCTGTGATATCACGAAATGACCGATTTGTCTTTAGGACAACCATAAAAGATTGTTTAGTTTGAACCAAAACTCAATATTTCTTTGATTATATGTTTGTAAATGTTTCTAGGAATACATAAATTATGATTTTAGCGCATATTTTTTGGTAGATTTTGTATTATGCTTATGGGACAGGAAAAGGGTAACATCGAGCAAGGAATAGTTGATTGACCCACATAAATTAAGTAAATTTTAAAGTGGTAATGATCATTTTCAATTGGGATGGTAATTAGGAGATGATGATGATAAAAAAAAATGTCGCCAAAAAAAATAGGGACAAAATTTATCTTTATCATAACTCACTTAATTTTTATATTAGGAACTTCCGTGAAAACAAATACTAGGATTTTTTCAAGCGCTTCAAAAACATTTCTTTGAGTTTTCTCCGAAAAATGCATTATTTTTGGATCTTTCACGTTGTAACTTTCGATTTTGTGTTTGCCGTAGACCAACCTTTAACTAGCTATTACTCCGGTTCAATGTAGTGATATATTAACCCCAGTATACTGTTCGTTCTTTTATAAAATACAATTTTATTTCAATTTTTTTTATATAAAATACCTATTTACACAGTTATTCATGAAATAGTCATTAAACGTGAATTTTCTAGTTGAAAAATTGACGTTTACACTCGAAATCAGTAAAAAAATTATATAATAAAAGTTGCTTAGAATGAGTCTGTCTATCCATTGCCCTGTCATTTAACTATTTTTACTAACAGCCGCTCCCAACATCGTCCACGTAAGCTTTAGTTTTTCTTAAAAACCCTAAATAACCTAAACCGAAAAAATGATAGATTTCGGGATAAAAATTGTACTTTGTCTCAATCCATTTAATAAACTATGTCGTAATAAACGTGTGCTAAATTTTACCCAAATTCGTTTAGCCGTTTTCCGATTCTATCTAGCCCTGCAGTAAAATACTCCCCAGTAAAATTTACTACCCCTTTTTTTCCCCCGTTAGCGGCAGAGTTTAAAAAACCCTGCCCCCTGCATAAGCACCGCGATGTAACATATAGCACGTTTTTATCATGCCTAATTGTCAAATTAATATGGAGTTTGACAGGGAGACACTAAAAAAAACGTGATAAAATGTGTATTGTAGTGCTCATGCTACAGGGACTGATACATATGTGATTTTTTATTAAATAAGTTTAGAGTTAATCAAAATGCGCGTTAAAATTCATCCATATAAACTCTTCGCCACTTTTCCAGGCCTTTAGGGGGTAGTTTAGGAAATTTAAAAATGACAAATTTTATAATTTATTTAGATAAGTATTCGTATCAAGTCATAAGTCTTTTAACTCAAGGAATGATTTTTATACTACTTTCATCCGCTATTTTAAGGCCTTCGGGGGTGAATTTTTAAAAATCTTTTCTTAATGCACCCCTAGACCTCAAGAAACCTACGTGCTAAATTTGGAGTCTCCAAACCAGTGGTTCTTAACCGGCGGTCCGCGGACCACTGGTGGTCCCTCGAAGCACCCGAATGGGTCCGCGAAGCCATTTGAAAAAATATTAGATAAGGAACAGTGCTGATTGATCTACAAATCCTGGGGGGAGGGGGGCTGCAAATCGTATGCAGAACGGAAATTTGAGAACCACTGCTCTAGACTCAGCAGTTTGGGCTTTGTGTTGATATGTCAGACAGTCAATCAGTCAGTTTCTCTAAATAAGTTAATCAAATCAAAATAATGGTCCGGAAACGAATGTCTTTATTTGGCTTCTGCCTTACCTCGCAGCCTGCCACCCTGGGCCTTTGCCCAAGGGTAAAGGTACTCCCCTGGGTAAGTAGAACATAGGTACAACCAAATTTTGGTGTTATTCGAATAAATTTGTACAACAAATCGAAAAATCTTGCAGCTCTTGCATACATCTTCTGTTTTAAAATCGGACCTGGCAGCAATGTCCGGGTGTATATTTAGTCAGACAAAAAAGTATGCGGACAAAAGTGCCTCGTCTGCGCAAGCCTTAATTGTTTTGTTACTGCACTTTGGTTCAAAAATAGAAATATACCATAGTCCATGATCTAATCCTGGGATCTTATCAATTCCAGAATTTTGCTAGTATACAGAGGGACGAAATTCTGGCTGACAGTTTGAACAGTCAAGACACAATGAACGACTGCTTTTCGCAATATTGCTGATGAAAACAAGTTCATAAATGCACATTATGCCGATCACCCGCTTCTCATCCGTTCGGACTAGCCAAGCGTCGTTTTTGCGACGCTTTTATTTCGTTGTTGATTTTCGAACACGATTTATACTATACTGTTACTTATACTGTTTTATTCCATTGAAATGCGTTTTAGGTAAGTCGCGGAAGCGGACAACTTTTTCAACGTCTATCCATACGGCTTGCCATTTTTGTTTAGACAACGTCAATCATTGGTGTCGATTCTGGCGTGATTTTCTAAACTTAAAACTAAATTTAACATCAGTCTTTCCTTTGCATTCTGTATTTAGAATGATAAGGATACACTGTTGTCAAATCTAAGTTTAGAGAATCATGTCAGAGGTTTTTGGCGGGATTTCATCGAGTGCGGTTGGCGTCTTATTTTAATTATTCTTAAATTTGTTCATAGTGGATAGTGTGAAATAAAATTGGTGTGATTTTGTGTTACAACCATCTGCGCAACTGAAGAATTAGTGGAATCTTTAAAATATACGCTATTCCGGTCAAGTGGACGTGAGAATTTTATTGTAGTATTGACTACCTCACAGAAGCTTATCGAGAAAGCCAGCTCGATACATTTCGTGCCAAACACTTCAAGAAACATTAGAATGCGTCACACCGACATTCTAATGTAAAAAGAAAAACAGAATAATTTAACTTAAGACTAGGCTGTATGGGCATTGTTCCCCTTGCCTTCCCTGAAAAGGGAGAACTTACCAAAAAAAAAAAAGAATCATGTCAGAATTGACACCAATGTCTGGTCGACCCTAGCTAACGCGCATTCAGTACCTTTTAGCACAAACCATTATCGAATTCGAATAGTTTGCAAACCGAAATGTCAATGTCAAATTTTGTATGGAAACTTGAACAGCAGCGGCACAAAGTACGTAACGAGAACTAAAAATCAGTACACATTTGACACTGACATTTCGGACTCGTAAACGATACGAATTCGTTCGTGCTAGGGGTACTGTACTAGCCTCAATGCTATATTGTCTTGGGGGCGCGTATTTTGTACTTTGTACTAAAGTGAATAGAGAATGGTTCTTTGCGAAGGTAATGAAAGAACATTGGTATTTTTCGAATTTAATCAAGTTTAAAGCTTAATCAATTTCATATTTACAACAATCAACTAAACCGTATACAGAGAAAAATATCACCTACTTTATAACAGCTTATACTGATGTTTACACTGAATGATTTGTTTAGAAAATAACATAACTGTTTAATCAACGAAATTATAGTATGTAATACATGTTCAATTAAATATATTTATTTTATAACGTTACGCAACGTTTTCTCCAATATAAAAAAAATACTGAATTAAGTAAGCTGAATATGTTTTTTTTTTATTTCAAACTTGTAAAAAAAATACATATTACAGAAATTATGATGTTAAACAAAAAACTCGCACTTCATTTAGTCGCAAAAGATATATACATACTGTTTCTCTATGAAAATCTACAAATATTATCATTATATTCGATGCTTCGAATGCTCCATTTCTCAAGGTAGTTTGACGCCCGTTTATTGAGAATAGGAGTAAAACAAAAACATATTACTAAAAGCAAAACTAAACGTCTTATGTATAGCATAGCCTTTTCTATCATACTATCACAAATAATTACTTAGTTTATTAACGGTGTATTAGCTAATAAACGTCACGGTTGATTTATTCAACTAAATTGAACTATGCAAATGATGGCCAATTTAGTTCAATGTGTTTCTATATTCAGTCTTATTTAGGCTCGGGTATTCTAGCATACTCAGTGCAATTGTTTTGAAATCAAACCATTAATTCAAAGCATACGCCTTTGTTTTCAAAACTTTTCTGACCATTATCTCATTGTATTGAAAACATAATTCCTTAGCACTGTATGTTTTTATGCATGCATAATGGTATAGAAGGAACTACATCATTTTATAATAATTAAATACATATTCCTTACTGGTATTTTACTCAATGGAAATTCATACTGTGTATATTTTTTACTTTAAGTAGGCAACTATTTGACTATGATCCAAAATGCATAAGACCAACACGTTAGTCGAAAAGCCAAATACTATTACATATTTTCTTGTTATGTCTCAATTCATCCATACAAAATACATAAACCATTTCAAACTATCACACAGTCAACACTGATGAAATTCTATCAGACTTTTTAACACGAAAGCTGAATTATTTTCTTTGCGGTTATCTGTAAGTACTAGCAAGGCCACAATACTATTAACAATTGTATATATTTTATTGCTTCAAAAATAGTAATCTCTTCTAAGTATAATTGCAATCAATCAATACAACTCAAAGGTGACCTATGTTAAAATGGAAGTCCATAAAACCTAGTAGTATTTGTTAGCACTTGACTAGAAACTGTCCAAAAAACATTTGTTAATGCATGAATAAAATGTGATACATAGATAAAATTGCTTATATATAACTTAGTAATTTAATATTAATGGTTTCCAACCGTTTTGTTTCTCGCTAAACTGCACTTTTCACTATGCATTCAATGAGTTCTCAATTTCATCCACTTTCCCATACCGTTTCTCGTCAAAATTCATTAAATATACATGAATGTAAATTAATGTAAACACTCTAACATACACATATTAGAAGAGTCAGTGTTCTAACCTATAGCGTTAACTATTACATGTTGAATAGTAAAACAACTGGCAAATTTATCCACTCTACGGCTACCACTAATCGCAATGATCAAACAATTGAGCTTTGAGAAACACTTTATATTTATCAAAATTCACACTGTCCGAATCACTTTTCACTGGTTTTAGCACCAACGGCGTTTCTTAGAAGTCCCTTCACTGTCGTCAGAGTGGCTCGTGGCCTATTTCTCTATCGCTTGCACGTGGTCAATGCGATCGCCACGGGAGTGCCTTTGCCACATTTTGTTATATAACATTTCTAGGCCGGTCGCATAGGCTTTGCAATCAAAGAGTGGACTCTCTGTACGCGCCGTCCATACTTTGGCACGAATCGCTTTGAGGCTGAAAGGAAAGTTTCATTATTAATAGGTACATACTTTAAATTTTACAATAGGGGCGACGACGAACTTTTATTAAAAAAATCTATTTACTCCGACAGTTAGATGATCAAAAAATAATGGACATGCATTTTTTCTTTGGTCAATCAACCAAAAAATGACAAAGAATGCGCGTCAAAGTTTGGGAGTCGGGGATCCTGACGTCACTTTTAAGTAAAAATCATACCAAAACGTGACGTCATGCGATTTTTCAAATCAATATATCTCTGTAATGTTTTGATTATGTGAAAAAAGAAAAAATACGTGTCATTCATAATCTACCTGATAAACAAAGAAAAAAAGGTTAGTCGTTATCCCTATTCTATAGATAAACGTAGGAGCTAATGGCGCTACTGGTTAGCGCGTTCGGCTGCGATCGTGAAGTTAAGCAATTTTCGCAGTGGTCGGTCACTGAATGGGTGACCAAAAATATACTATCTCGAGCTCCTCCGTGCTTTGGAAGGCACGTTAAACCATTGGTCCCGGCTACATTTGCATTGGTTAGCACCCACCAATCAGCACTGGGCCCGCGTGGTGGGCCATGGGCCAATCTCCCTATTCCATTCATAGGGAAGGCCTGTGCCCCAGCAATGGGGGCATTAATAGGCTGATGATGATGAACAGACCAGTCAAAGAATTCGATGGTCTTCCATTCATTGGGAAGGAATGCATGTGCCCGAGTAATAGGTATATTAATAGACTGATGATGATAGGTAATCGATTCAAAGCTTGAGAAGAGAGAGCAGAGCTACAGAGGCAACATTGTATGAATCACCTGAAATAATAAATATACTTACTACTCTCGGTCTGTCCCTAATCTTACAGCTATATCTTGGTATTCCTGTCGTGTCCTAGCGATCAGATCAGGGCACCCAAGTGTATTCAGTTGGGAAGCAGCCACTCTGCAAAACAAATTTCAAAAATTTTATTAAAGACAGAATAACATTTTAAATTAAACTGTTCAATATTTTTATTTATTTATTTATTCAGGGTTTGTATGAATGAAAATGACATCTGTATTTAATATGAAGCAGTGATATTACTATTTTGAAAAAATAAGTAACTTTCTCTCTAAAAAATTATTAAGTAGAAATGATTTTTTGTTCTATGGTCACGTGACCGAAAACGCCTGGGATTGGCGAAGACTAAAATGACGTCACACGCTAGTAAACTTCATTATAAATGATATTATTGTATGGTTTGACGTTTTGATGACATTCGTGTGACGTCACACCATTGAGACACCGCACCATAATGTCCAGAGAAACGTTATCGCGGCACTTGAAAATGGAAATTTCGATTAAATCTTTTTACAAAAATATACAACAGAATTATGAATACCTATCCACTTTTTATGGACTTTCTAAATATTAGTTAATAACGTGATCTAAAACTTGTCAAACACCCTATTGATCCTGTTGAAAAAGCTTATTAATGATGATGGTTCTGGTGGTTTTACCATCAAAAAAAAGCGGAAGTCAGGATGTTTGTGAGATTATATTGCCATCTCAAAATCTTATTAGTAAATTGCACACCCATAGCACATATTAGATGCTAGTAGGTCTGATTCAAGCACGATTGTTAAACTAAATTAGACAATAGTATGTCCTTTTCATCCTCTATAGAGATAGTAAGTGCCAAGTCAGAATTAGGTCCATTTAGGTCCACTTTCAGCAATTTTGCTTAATCTCAATTTATCTAAAACTACATTTAGCCCATATAATAATGTGAAAACGCATTAGCACATTTTCTGCAAGTGAGCCTTAATAATGATATATAAATATTTCCAACACATACCAATTAGCTTAGCCACAAAGTAAGCACTGAAAGACTTGTGTTACTTAGGTACATATGCTCGTATTCATCAGACTAACATTTGCCCCAGCGGGATTCGAACCCAGGACCTCACGAGTAGGCGACAGCTTAAAACCCGACATACATACCATTCAACCACGGAGCCAGGATTGCACTGGATATTTATCGTTGATAATTATCAAGATAATTACGTATTGATAATTATCGTTGATAATAACGAGTAACTGTTATTGTACAAAACAAAATAATAGTACATTGTTGTCGAGGCGCGCGAAACCAGCAATTGCTGGACGAGTAGAGTTTGAAGTCCGAACCGTAGGCGAGGACTTTAATAATACGAGTCAGGCAAGGGGTTTTTGTTTGAAAATTTAATTATTAAAACAGTAATAGCAGTCAAAAATTACAATAATTAAGTTGTACACATATCAAAGTTAATAGTTTTTTTTAACAAAAGTAGTCTCAGACTCTCAGTTAAAAATATAATTGTAATGTCTAAAAATAGAAAAAATCTTTCATTTATATATGTATTATTTGATTTGATAGTTGGATAATTATGATAAGTATTATCGGAGAAAATTATCTTGATAATTTACAACCCTGTACGGAGGTCGTTGGAGGTTTCTTTCTAGTATTCTTCAACTATCTAACCAGAGAGATGTATAATTAATGTATTTTTGTTTACCTAGAAGCCAAAGTCTCCCCGGGTAACGTGACTACGGGCGTGCCCGTCCACAATATGTCCATGCTGGTAGTGTGTCCATTGCACAATGGCGTATCGAGACAAACATCTGCCAATTGGCCTCGTCGTACATGCTCCTCTTTAGCGGCAACGTTCGAGAATATTATACGTCCTGGCGGGAGACCTGAAAAAACCAAATTTGCATTTATAAAAAAAAACCGGCCAAGTGCGAGTCGGACTCGCGCACCGAGGATGCCGTACAAACCTGTAGGTACATTTTAATAATTATTAAAAATTATTATATGATGTAACTAAAAAAAAATACGATTTTCGCAATTTTTACTTTATCTGTAATATAAGACGTTACTTCGTACCAAATTTCAAGATTCTAAGTTCACGGGAAGTACCCTGTAGGTTTTGATTCCCGTGCGAGTTTCGAAAATTTGCAGAAATTTTCGGCATAAACGGCTGTATATTTTGATTGCTTTGGCTTAGAAGTTTGATTTTTTCACAGCTCCAAGGGACAGTAGACCTGAGTATTAGAATTTCAGTTTGATACCTCCACGCGTTCCTGAGAAAAACGGTCTTAACAGACGGAAGGACGGACGGAGAACCTATAAGGGTTCCATTTTTTCCTTTTGAGGAACCCTAAAAACAGTCAAACTTTACCCCTCTTATTCCAAAATGTAAACTAAAATAAATCTTGATTTAATTTTAAACCTAATGTAGTCTCTGTCTTTTATTTGGCAAACAAAAGTGATAACATCAGTTTTAATCCAGGCTTAACTTTACTCGACATTTTGCTATAAGGCTGTACTTGTTTAAGAGAGATTCAAACTTTTTGGCTGTTGTGAAGTTGGCAACGTTGGCGATACGAATACGAAGCTGTCATAGTTCGTGCTTGGGGTACTGGTCACTGAAACCCCGTGCGAATCTAAATTTCGTTTACTGCATCGTGACTTGCGTTAACTTCACAGCCGCTATTAAGTTTAAATCGTAACATACTTCAGTATTTTTCTTACACACATACTATAAGATATAATATAATATCGACTATTTGACAGACTGCAATATGTATTGATACGAAAATCGATTTGAATAAGGATGACTCACGCTAGACCGTGTCGGCTCCAAGCCGAGCGTCAGCCGTAGCACGGTAAACGAGCCGGTTTCGTGCCTATAATTTACAAAGAAAAGTCTCAACCGAGCATCTACCGAGCCGAGTCAAGTTCGAGCAAAAATAGTGCAAAACTTTCGTGTATTTATATAGCATCACTAAGACGGGTGTAGCTCGGCAATGCTGCATTCATGCAACGAGCCGTGGCCAAACCAAGACGGGACCGAATTGATTCCGAGCGTTATCCGTTGTTCGACCGTCACACGGTTGCCGCTCGGTATAGCGTGAGTGTGTCCATATAAAATATCTATACATTTAATAAATGGTAGAAAAGTCAAAACTACATAGAATATTTTTTTTAAAGTATAATTGGGGTGTGATCTACAATCGATACCAAAGCCAAAAATATAGTTTTTAGAATTTTCGTCTGTATGTATGTCCGGAATACACTCAAAAAGTACTTACTGCATGGATTTACTTCAAATTTGGCACGGATATTATTAAGAAGTCGGGTCAACATAAAGACTACATATTATCACGCTATCACCTACGGGGAACGAGCAGTGAACCTTTATTTCTAACTAGCTCCACGCGTACGAAGTCGCAGGCGGCTGCTAGTATGTAATATTAATTGACCGTGCTACGGCCGACGCTCGGCTCGGACCCGACACGATCTAGCGTGAATCATCCTTAAATCTGAGTTATAAATTAATGAAATCAACAAGCTACGGAAAAATTATACTAGTTATTTATATGGAATGACTCTTGTTATGATTGAACGTGTAGCTAATAGAACTAACTCGACCTGTGTCAAATTATTGTTTGTTTACTGTTATTTATTATGTGTCAGCACCAGTGCAAGGTCATCTGCCTAAAAATAGCATTTTATTTACAAATTGCATTTGTGTTAGATATTTTTCAGTTTACTCGTGGACACAGGAAAAGTTCCTGTTCCAATCGCATGGATTTGTAAATACTCTTAATAGAATCTAAGAAAATCTTTAGAGAGAATAAAAATAAATAATTTTCGTATTCATCACACAAAAAATACGAATATCGTTACCACCGGGATTATACGAACCCGGGACCACTCGAGTAGGCGTCACCTTGAAACCCAGCGTACATATCACTCGGCCACGGAGATCGTCAAGAGATTATCCCAAAATAGACACAAATAGTTGAGACTATCACAAAACTTACCTAGTTGCTGAGCAGTCGCTAGTAGATTTGGTTCTCCGACTGCAGGGAATCTCAATAACCACAAGACACTATTTGGCACATGCTTCAATATGTACACCCACATATGTAATGTCAGCGGATCAATCTTATACAGCTGGTTGAAGTTGCAATAAACTACTGCGTCGTCCGGCAAGCCATATTGCTGTCTTGTCGTTATAACTATGGATTGGGGTACTTCTTCCCCTGTGGCGGCTTTGTTATTGGTCTGAGTGGTAGCCAAGCCATTTTGAAGTATAACTCCATTTACTGACGTCTGAAAGTTGAGAAAATCATTAGCGATTTTGAAAAGAAAATAATAAATTAGTATTGATCTAAATAACATTTATTGCTATGATTAAAGAGTAGTTAATATTCATTAGCTTCGATCCACCGTACCGTAAACATCTTATTTGTTGGCTTGTCAGTTTTTTCCATAGTTCGATTGCTTTGAAGTTATTTTTAGTTGTATTTTCCCGTGAATGGTGTTATTTATGACTTTTATACTTCACCAGTGTAAATTATTATATAAGATATTTTATAAAACTACGTACCTAATAATTAAACAAAAATCAAGTGTTTATCGACAATTACTCATCCGACATAAGTGTATTGTGATTACGCGTAAGCGACACCCTTTACACGGCGGTTAAGACATTTTTTCTCGCGAAATTTTTAACATGAGTTGTTTATGCTGATCAAAATCAACCAAAGAGGAGACATTAATATTGCTAGCTATAATAATCAGTATTTTTAAATTCAATAATTACCCTACTCGCTAAAATATATCACACGAAAATTGATTATTACTAAAATTGAACTGCGCTACTTGCTGCTCAATTATAAACAATAAGCAGCAGCGATTGCTACGATTATAAATGCCTAAATATGCCTCCAAATCCTGATGTAAATATAACAAGTGATTCATACAAATCAAAGTAATATAAAGTTTAAGAATAAGTTTGTATGGGTGCGTAGCGGCCGAATTTTTATACATACGTAAATCAGAATTTCTGCAATTCGGAATCTCTCAAGAAATCGATTAATGTTGTTTGTGTTGGAAATTATTGATGTTTGAAAAGCGATTTTATTTTGCTGATTAATTTTCGCTAACCACTGTTTTCTAATTTATGTTCAGAATGTCAGAGGGCTCAAAACAAATATCATAGATTTTTTTCACAGTATTTGTTATAAGAAATTATGACGTGGTAGTTTTGTGTGAAACATGGCATTAGGAATTCCGAATTTTGTCTATCGTCGTAAACGAGAATAGAGCGGTTTTCATGGTGGCAAATCATATTCATAGTGGCAAATTGGGAGGTGGAGTTTTAATTGCAATATCCAAAAGGTTCATTTCTTATAGGCTACACAAATTTGAAAGTAAGTGTGAGGATGTGTGGATGGGAATAAATATAAAACTCAATATTAAAATTCAGAAGTCATATCTTTGTGGAGTCTATCTAAAAAAGGCATATTTAAGAACATTAACAAATACCAACCGCATCCTTGAGACTAGTAACACCTCGGTAATATTAGAGGATTTTAATCAGAGTAGCAGACATTAGTCTGGTCATCCTGACTTGCCATTGGGCTCACACACCTTGGGCCTCTTTTACCTTTTTATAAATGACATACCATTCTGTTTTCATCATCCTCAATGTTATCTATATGCCGACAATTTTATGATTGTTAAACGTGTATCTGGTCGCACCGATGTGCAACTATTGCAGGAAGATTTAGATCGCTATGCAAAATGGTGTGAAGTTTATCAATTGAAATGAAATCCTAACAAAAGCTCTTTTATGCATATTTAAAAAAAAACAAACTTCTCATCCTAAAAACTATGCAACTTCATTTTGAGGGAGGTTGATGCTATCCGTGACTTGGGCGTGAATGTTGATAATAAACTGCGGTTTAACACCCATATATGTATTATTGTTTTTATAAGTTTAAAGTTGCTTGGTTTTATCTTGCGTAATTTTAAAGTGTTTAAATCAGCTCAAACCAAGATTTGTGTTTTTGACAGTCTGGTCAGATCAATACTGGAATATGTAGCTCTGTTTAGATGCCTTTGTATGATATTCATAAAAAGCAAATTTAATCAGTTAACAAAAGATTTCTTTTGAACTTAACCTTGCAATGTCATAATATTAAATATCTTGTTACATATAAGCAACGCTTAGATTATTTTTAACTACACTTAGAATGTCGTAGAGAGATAATGGATCTAAGGTTTCTGCATAAACTAATTAATACGATTGGACTCTGTCCCTTGCTCTTAAAAGATATCAGATTTCATATCCCTTATAAATTTTCTCGCGGCTCTAATTATAATTCATTTAAAGTAAAACCTTTCAAAAGTAATTTGGCATGTCTTGACCATTGTCCCTATGCGGAGACTCTTTAACAGATCCTCTTACGGTACAGATGTTAATCTGTTTGGCAAACCAGGAACCATTTTCAAGTCACTATCAAGCAAGTCATAATAATAACTGTGCATTGACAACGTGAAAGCTTCATTAGCGAGTTTACCTCAATCTAAAGATAAATGTATCCTAGGGTTGCGCAGTTGTCATGGGTCACCGAACTTTTTTTAACCATGATACATTATTATAATTTCGACTCTGTATGGTATTCCTCCTGTTGAAATCACTTTTGATTTTTTTTTATATTGCGCGTCCATCAATGCATGTCGTGGCAGACTTCAATTGAGTTATCACTTGAAATGTTATTTAAGTCTTAATTGTAATATATGAATTGTGTTAATTTATTGTCTTATTGGTTGTCCTAATAAATAAATAAAAAAAAATCTTAGTTCTGAACATAAAAAACAAAAGCATTTTCTACTATGACTCTATGACTGGTAAATTGAACTTAAAACCTAAGATATTACTATAACAAGTTATCTTTAAAAATTACATGTATGTTGAATTAAAAAAATAACAATTATTACCTGTACTTGTCCAGAAGCAATCATAGTTTCGATCGGTGTAGTAGTAGGTAGTTCCGCAACTTTCAACGAGATTTCGACAGGTCTGGCTGCTCGTACAATTTCTTTTATTTCTTTGACATCCGTATTCTCAACCAACGGGGAAAGATCAGTGGCATTTATGACTGCCACGTTGTCGGCAACACCGCCCAAATTATTGTGACCCTTAATCTTGTCACTGAGAATTAGCCGCTCTTGCAAATGAGGGAACATCTGCTTATGGTCGCCAACGAAGTATGTGTGTGGCATGTACGCTAGCTTCTCGCTATATTGGCTAGCCAGCTCTAACGGGGACGTCACCGCATCTGTCACTAAATAATCCATATAACTAGCTCCACTGGTTCCTGGATATCCCAGCCACATCACCTGAATAGGTGCCGGTCTCAAAGCGAATATCTCATTCCTAGCTCCTTTAGTGTATCCATTCATATTGACGAGAATATGAATACCGTCAGAATATATTTTGTCTGCAGCTTTGCCGTTGCACGGCATCTGAGATAAGTCAATGAAATTCTCGGCTTCTCTTGCTATCTTCGAGCGGAATGTCGTACCGTCGTCAGGACTCAAAGCGTAACAGAAAATTTCCACTTTTGATCGGTCGTGAAGACCTGGCACAGACTGCATTAAATGCGATGTGGGGTGATTACCGAAGTCACTGCTAACGTAGCCGATACGCAAGCGGCCTTGCAAATCACGTGGGAACTTGTAAGGGGGTTTGTGAAGAACTTGAACTTTTTCTAAACATAAGTTAGCATGGCGGGCTGCGATAGCCTTTCTAAAATCATGTGTCAGTGGGTACAACATCGAGTGATGAGGGTGGACGGAGGGCAATCTATTCTTCTCTAGTTGTTCCGCCACAATGCTAACTAGTTTCTTCATGCGAGCTTCATAATCAGTCCAATCGCAGACAATTTGCAAGCAATGCGCTAAATTACAGTACGCATCAGGGAAATCTGGTTTTAGCTTGAGAGCTGTTCTATACGATTGAATTGCTTCTGGGATATTACCAGAATCTTTATGAATACTGGCAAGGTTGCTGTGTGCATCGGCGAACGCTGGGTTGATCTGAATGGCCCTAGTGTAGCATTGCAATGCCCCTGCGACGTCTTGCATTTCTTTTAGAGTGTTGCCCATATTACTGTAAGCATCCGCAAAAGTAGGCTGAATACGAATGGCTTCTTTGTAATGCATAAGTGCTTCGTTGAGTTTCCCTTGCTGTTGCAAAACAGACGCTAAATTGCTATGAGCTGCCGCGAACTCGGGAAACACTTCCAGCGCCTTTAAGTATAACCTAGTCGCTTCTTCGATGTAACCTTGCTCCCGTTTTATATTAGCTAGATTGTTCAGTGAATCTGCGTGAGATGGGCAAAGACGTAACGCTGTGTTGTAGCATTCTTCCGCATCGGCTACCTGACCCTTTTCCTTTAGGGCATTAGCTAAATTACAATACGCATCAGGGAAATTGGGTTGTAGTTCTATAGCCCTTCTGTATGTATCGATAGCTAAATCAATAAGCCCTTGTTCGTAATATACGCACGCCAAGTTACCATGCACGACCGCATTATTCGGAGACAAATTAAGTGCACGTAGATATGCTGCCACAGCCCTATCAAAGAAAAATAATAATACTTGAAATCATATCAAAATATTAGAAATATAAATATGTATTGTAAAAGTAATAGTTTACATTACCTGTCAAAAATTCTTGCTTCTTTGAGGACATTGCCCAAGTTGATATAAGCATCCAAGAAATTGGGATCCAAGGCCACAGCCTTTTCAAAATGGTGTATAGCAAGCCAGATTTCACTCTGTGCGTTGAACACGCATCCCAAGTTACTCCATGCCACGGCAAAGTCTGGCCTAGTTTCGATGGCCTTCAAGTAACAAGCCTAAACACACGAGAAACAAAATATGTGAACATATGGACCACACTCTATTTCAAACAATGATGACAGTCTGAAGTATTATTTACGCCACTAGTAATAGATTACACCACAGCATTGATTGGCACTGGGTCACAAATACTCCGAGCGTGAATGACCGAACGCCAATCAAGGACTTAGAACTAGATTACGCCAAATGCACCCTAACGACAGGACACTACGCCAATAGCCACACACATCAGTAGGAAATGCAAACGACTATTTGCATTCGAATTCGAAAGCCCCAAAGTAATATACCTGTGCGAAATATTTCACAGCCTCGATTTAAAGTAGGAAAACGACGACAGACGCTTCCACTTCCTATCCGATGAGAAGATGGACACGAAAATGATAATCAAAGAGTACGAGTTATATCCAATGACCTGTCCAAAAGTTTATTTCTTCAAACCTTTTCCACTTTACCTGCAGCAGGTACGTCGTCATCGCAGCGGGATAGCGAGTGTGGTACCAACCGTAACCCAGCTACATACAGCACCGGTCACACCTACTGTCTTACCAGACAACACCTTGTGAAAATATAACAGAATTAGTTGATTTTGAGTCAAATTAATTCCCGATCAACTGAATTCGTATTGCTAATACAATGTATATGATTGAGAGGATCTCCTCTGTCAACTCGCATCGTTTTCGAGCAGAGTGTAGCGACAGGAATGATGTGATGAACCTTTTTTTAATGTTATAAGTTAACCAACTCACTACTTCATACCTCTAAATGATTATTAACACTACTCATACTGACTCCTATGATCCTCATATTGAAAATATAAAAATCACTACTTCTATGTATAAGGAAAAATGTGGCTAAGTTACAAAGAAGGAAACAGGATATGTTATCATGATGGCATCGTGTTAAATACAAACATGAAAATAAAACATTAGTGTACTCTCTATTTAAACAACTTTCCACACATACGTTTTACAAAAACAAATTATATGAACTTACAATGTATAAAGCCTAAAACAACGTCAGATCAATGTTCAAGGCTGATTTTACACAAATAGAAAATGTAATAAACAAATAATAGGAAAATCAGTTTTGAAGCAAGTTTCGTAAAGTAGGTATTCAAAAAGTAGGCCAAATAGTTTAGAGATTTTGAAAATTAAAATATAAAGTTGGTAATATTATATACATATATGATATGATCCGATCCTATAAACTTCACTACTATCTGTGGTAAACCCCGCTCAAAACTTGTAAGAAAACACATATTGTTCAATTTACATTGCAAACGTCGAACGTCGATGCAAGAACCGGTGGTAATTTTCATTTCAATCTCAGTCTAACTGACTACATAATTGAATAGTGTCCTCTTTAAACAATAAGAGCAAAAGGCATATCGCTGTGTAGAAAGTTGATCAGTATTACGCAATGCAATCGCAAAATATCAAAACGAAACTGTGTCGATATTTGGCGACTAAAATAAGAATACGAAGGACAAGACAGAAATCTGTTAGTGTCCATCAACTTCATGCAATTTCTATCTTGTTTTCATACCAACTGTAAAGGTTTAAACAGAAAGAATCAAGTAATAGCCATCGGAAGCTTCAAAGAACTCGTTGAAACCATTACGTTGTATTGAACGCTAAATGCTTTCTCCCGTAGGATTTACGCAAACGCAGTGTACGCTGGGCAAAACAGAGAGTTCACTAATTCAATACAACACCAAAGGAAAAGTCGGCGAATCCTGTTAACTTCGAGCAAACCAGAGAGTACAGGGCAGAATCTTATTTACCTTTGCCTCGTCCAGGCGACCTAAAGCCTTGAGCAAATTGCCCAAGTCGCTTCGGACGCAGTACAGATCCTGTAACAAAGGAAAGTTTATTGTTGAGGAAATAAGGTAGGAAGCGTTCTCATTTATATTTAATCAGCAAGTTATTTCTATATAATTTCATTTCGCAGTTTCCTGACTTTGTACCACTTCAATATTCACAATCCATTACACGCTAGTACAATTAATCGTTACAGAAGCGTCTTCCAACACAAGATAAATTGTAAGACTTGAGAAATAGAAAAACGAGATTTTTTTTTAATAATGGTGTGAACGTACTAGGGTCAGCGTGACGCGGCGTGCACATTTTAAGATAGCGATCCAAAATGAAACTCTTTTTAATACACATTTCATTGAGCGGGGTAGCGTGCTGCAGCCCTTTCAAATCTTCTCAATGAAAATAGGTAATACACAATAAATGTTTTAAAGTTTGAAGCATTTTCGAGCTGTGGAATCGAATCCTGCTCTAAACCTAAGACAAGTTGATCTAGCAAAATTATACAGTGTAGTACAAGCTATTATACAGTCCTTAATATCATTATAAGAAACATTACATGTATAGAAACTAGGGTATAGTCTATACCGAAGCGAAGCGAGGACTGGTCACTATTACATGATATAAATTAAACTACGGACAACACATAACCATTTTAGTCCAAAACTAAGGGCATAAAATTCTTGTTAAGAGATTGTATTGTAATCGATGCCTATAATACAAAACTGAAATAATGTTGATAGGTGGATTTAGAAGTTAACTTTTTCAAAGTTCCCATTGGGATCTACATCTACACATAAACAATGAATCATACTCAACAGATCAGATCTCAACTCAATTTGTTCTGAGAAGTGATTGTGTTTTGTGATTATCAGCTCAGCCCTTGTCGGCAAAGTTTTCGTAAAAGATAATTTTCGTCGTAAATAATAATAACTAATTATATAAATGGACTCAAATAGAGAGAGGCTAAATACTGGAAATAGAGCAAACAATGGCATAACTGAATTTGAAACCAAAGAAAGTCTAAGAAAAAATAAAACAAACTGGTTCCCAACTTCTTGGGATATATGAAAGCTGATTGTGGGAATATCTATTGAAAAAATAGTAAATAGGGCGAAGTTACTTTTTAATCTTTTTATAGGGCGAAGTTACTTTTTAATCTTTTTATAATGTTTGTAAGTAATGAAAGATAGAATATTTTGTTTACAGAAACTTGCAGATTAATATGACGTATTTGATAAGTAAAGCCGAGTGTTCCGCGAGTGTTTTGCCCTACACATCAACAAAAACTTACACTAACCAACATTCAACAGGATCGTCTACACTAGACTTGCAAAGAATATTCGGTTACTATTCGGTATTCGGCCTATTCGGCTGCTTTTATTATATTCGGCCGAATACCGAATATCTACATATTATTCGGCCGAATACCGAATACTTAAATAATATATTTTGTCATAGAGAAATAATTGGTAAAATGAAAAATTAAAATCGATTGATTACGTATATATTCATATTTTCATTTCTGTTATATTATAATCATTTAAGTAGTCATTGGTACATAACGCAGGTACATAATCATCTTCTGAATTGGAAAAATGGAGGATTCTATGTATTTATTGTGGTAATCAAAATTTAGAAGGATAAGGTTCTTATTTCTTTTATAATCATTTATTAAGTAGTCATTGGTACATAAAACAGGTACATAATTTAATAATTTTCTGTATAAAACAAGTTAACAGCTTTTAATTCATTCAGTCATGTGATGATTACATAATAGCAATAATTTAAAGTTTACTCGCCGTTTTGGCCATATCTCAAAAGTCGGTTTTCTCATTTAGCCGCATTTTAGCTTTAGGACGGCAAATTAGAACAAAGCAAAGGAGCGCGAAACAATCAAGTCTGTACAAGTTTTTGGCGCTAAAATCCAGCCGAATACTTTTGCCTAATATTCGGCTATTCGGTCAGGGGCCTCGGCGAATATTCGGTATACTGCCGAATATACTATTCGTTGCAAGTCTAGTCTACACAAAACATTGATTTACTACACATATCTATTTGCATCAACAAAGTTTTTGCTTTCCGAGTCCGATCAGGCCGTCGGTCGTCACTTCATACAAAAATCACAATGTATGCAATTATGAACGTACATTGAACCAACGTTGAAAATTAATATTGTTGGTCAGCATGTGAAGTGACACATGAAAGAGGTCAATATTACGCCTATCGCGTGTTAAAGTTCAGTTTTATTTTTTATTTTTACAGAATTTATTACAGCTGGGTTACTTAGCTTATTTGTTACAGCTCGCGAGCAAACAATTATCGATTTAACGCTAGCTTCCGAAAGCGCGTAAAACCTCATCTCAAACTGCCACGTATCTAATGAGCCTTCTTGTTCCGATCCACATTGTGTTATTTCACCTCAAAATGACCACTCCCTTGATTAAAGGTGAATCAGATAAAGCTCTTCATTCTAAGCGCAAGAGTAAAACTCCCACGATTCTAACTATAATAGTTTCGACGAAATCCCGGTTTTTCTTTTTTTGTACCACATTGTGAAAAAGAAATAAAAAAAATATTTTGTCTAAGCTATTACAGTTATTTTATTTTTTACATTGTATTTCAAAAGGTATTATTTTTATCCATATTATGAGTCTTCTATGGCTGCCCTAGAGCTTGTAGGAACCGAGAAATCGGCGATTTAGTGATTTTCGTTTTTAATTTTTTGTGCTCATGTTATGCAATATTAAAGCTTATAATTTAATTCAAAATGTAGCTAATAATGTAGACTATCAACTCAAAAAATAACAAGCTTTAACTCGGTGGTATATCGGAAATATTAAGAATTTAAATTTGTGGGACAATGTCCCACATTTTGAAGACTTAATTTTGAAAACGTAGTTATGCTACTTTTTAAATATAATAGTATAATAACTATATAAATACGTTGTTATTATATTATTTACTATTTATATAAGATTATAAATGTGTTTGGTATGTTTGTTACATAATCATCCACTTTTGTGGGCCAACTTGTTTGGATGAAATGTGGCACACAGGCATTAAGTTCTTCCCTATTAAGTGCAAATAAACAAATTAATCTGTTTAAACATTATCTGTCGTAAACACATTGTCTTCGTTATGAAGAACAGTTGTGAATTCATTTTCTTCACTTTCTATGCATGCAGTTTCGTCGTCGACATCACTGTTATCGTCATAAATATAAACATCCCGAACTGTCTTTTTTTCGTTCTGCAGTAATTTGTCCTATGTCAGAATTTTTTATTACTCGCCACTGTCTGACTTTTGGGTCATTTTTTCACTTGGGATACAAAAATGACCCGAGAGTCAGACAGTGGCGAGTAATAAAAAATTCTGACATAGGACAAATTACTGCAGAACGAAAAAAAGAAATCCAAAATCAAATTAAGCAAAGTATGGGTCTATTGGTAGACGTTTTTAAGCCTAACTCAGGGACCACGAATGATGGTAATACGGCTCGTCGAGTATTCAAAAGTGAACAAAGCCGCCAGACGTTTGCCAATATACTTGATATTGAGAAATGGCTCGTAGATGATTTAAATGTAATTTTAATAGCCATCAATTCGGGATTACCAATAGACGCCCAAAAATTCGGTACTTTTTGTAAAAATATAGCTAAAAAATACGTAGAAAACTACAACTGGCACCCTATAACTACTACCCTTCACAAAATCCTAATTCACGGAGAGAAAATTATAGAGAATTCAGCGCTACCCATTGGACTACTCTCCGAACAGGCAGGAGAATCCAGGAACAAGTTTTGGCGTCAGGACAGAGAACATCACAGCCGGAAAGATTCTAAGGTTCATACCATGACAGACTTATTTCACAGGGCGCTCGAGTCATCCGACCCTGTGATATCGGCTATACGGCTAAAACATCGTGAAAATAACCGAATGAGAATGCCACTGCCACAGGCTGTAATAAATTTATTAAAACCGGACAGTTCGGGATGTTTATATGACGATAACAGTGATGTCGACGTCGAAACTGCATGCATAGAAAGTGAAGAAAATGAATTCACAACTTTCTTCATAACGAAGACAGTGTGTTTACGACAGATAATGTTTAAACAGATTTATTTGTTTATTTGCACTTAATAGGGAAGAACTTAATGCCTGTGTGCCACATTTCATCCAAACAAGTTGGCCCACAAAAGTGGATGATTATGTAACAAACATACCAAACACATTTATAATCTTATATAAATAGTAAATAATATAATAACAACGTATTTATATAGTTATTATACTATTATATTTAAAAAGTAGCATAACTACGTTTTCAAAATTAAGTCTTCAAAATGTGGGACATTGTCCCACAAATTTAAATTCTTAATATTTCCGATATACCACCGAGTTAAAGCTTGTTATTTTTTGAGTTGATAGTCTACATTATTAGCTACATTTTGAATTAAATTATAAGCTTTAATATTGCATAACATGAGCACAAAAAATTAAAAACGAAAATCACTAAATCGCCGATTTCTCGGTTCCTACAAGCTCTAGGGCAGCCATAGAAGACTCATAATATGGATAAAAATAATACCTTTTGAAATACAATGTAAAAAATAAAATAACTGTAATAGCTTAGACAAAATATTTTTTTTATTTCTTTTTCACAATGTGGTACAAAAAAAGAAAAACCGGGATTTCGTCGAAACTATTATAGTTAGAATCGTGGGAGTTTTACTCTTGCGCTTAGAATGAAGAGCTTTATCTGATTCACCTTTAATCAAGGGAGTGGTCATTTTGAGGTGAAATAACACAATGTGCGATCTCAGGATTCGTTTCTCACTAGTAGCAAACACACAAAAACCTGAACCAAGGCGTAACACACGCAGAACAAATGTACCTGGTTACAAACGACTCTATTATTTTACCTAACAGATTCCAAACAAAGATAAAACACTGTAACAAAACTCTCAGAACATATTATTAAAGCCTACCATGCCTGCTGCAAACTAAAAGATTCCCTCCAAGGGCAAGGGAAACTCTTGGTGGAATCCAGAACTCAGCAGACTCAGGCTAGCGCTGCGCAAACAATTCAACAGAGTAAAAAATTGCAGGCTCCTAAAAGACTTTGATCTATATACAGATCAGGCATGCCAGCAGAGCAGCCTGGCGAAAATTCTGTGAGGACATTGAATCAATCTGTGAATCTGCGCGAGTCAGGAAGATCCTTTCTACCGATCAGGATCACACCCTCGGGTTCCTGAAATACCCAGATAACAGTTACACAAAATCAGACTATGAAACTAGCACAGTACTCCTGGAAACTCACTTCCCAGACTGCAACCTTTCTGAGGATAGACGATTGGAAAGTGAGAAATACACACCAAATGGCATAGATAGGTTCAGAGCCCAAAACAGTACTAACGGAAGACCGGATCGGATGGGCAATCAAAACCTTCAAACTATAACAAACGGCAGGCTTAGATGAAATCTTCCCTGCCCTGCTACAATGGGGAATGGATCTCATCATACCGTGGATAGTTCTGATCTACGAAGCCTGCTTAGCACAGAAGTATGTACCGCTTGCATGGCGAGAAGTGTAAGTTATATTCATACACAAACCTGGCAAAACTGACTACACACAACCTAAAGCGTACGAATCAATAAGTCTGACATCATTTCTACTTAAAACACTGGAAAGACTCTGTGACCGGCACATTCGAGACGGACCTCTCCGGGAGTTGCCATTACACAAACAACAACACGCTTACTCTATAGGGAAATCAACAGAATCCGCCAAGCACAGAGTGATCTCTAAGATCGAATGTGCAGTAGACTATAAATGCTCCTCACTAGCGGTTTTAATTTGACATAGAAGGCGCTTTTGATAAAACTATCTTCCATAGCATCAATGCAGTTCTCGAAGAACACTATGTGGACTCGACTCTGCCAGGATAGATTACAAACATGCTCAAACTTAGAGCCGTACAAGTCACAGTGAACGACAACACAAGAGCTATCGTGGCGAAAGATTGCCCTCAAGGAGGTGTTCTCTCACCATCCTATGGAACCTAGTGGCGTCCCTACAACTACCGCACTTCTTCGGAACCACCCTAAGCCTATCAAGTGAGTCCAAATACCTGGGCGTTGACTTGTACAAACAGCTTAACTGGGCCAAACACACCGATTACATCACCACAAAAGCCAGCATAGCCTTATGGCAATGTTAAAGACTGCTCGGCAGGAATTTGTGCATAAGCCCCAAACTCACGTACTGGTTATACACCACAATCATCAGACCGATCATCACATATGGCTTTCTAGTCTGGTGGCCCAGGAACCATCAAGCTACAGCCCATGATGGCATCACCCAGCGACAGAATTTTGAAATCACACTGTTTCCAAAAACACTACAACATAGAACTCACAGCTGAGTTGCATGACCACTCGGGCCCGAGGGAACTCAGGATTTACACTGATGGATCAAAGACTAACTGTGGAACTGGAGTCGGAGTCTTCTCAAAACCTAAACATCAGAATACCCTGGCCCCTAGGTACACTCAACACTATCTATCAAGCTGAATGTGTTGGCATCATACAAGCAGCACACATCATAGAGGCCAGGAAAGTGACAGCCACTCATATCCATATACTCTCCGACAGTGCCTCAGTTCTTCAATCCTTAAAGAAGAATCAAATTACGTCAAGGTTAATACTAGAATACCAAAATGCTCTAGAACGCGTTACTGTACTGAACCGAAATATAGTGACACTATAATGGATTGGGGGACACAGTGGATAGCAACGATACAGAGATTCAAATACAAAGGCCATTGGACCTAAACCCATAGTATCCATTCACTTCAATCAGCTGGGAAGCTGGTTAAATAAATAAATATTTCCAACATTCACACCAATTAGCCTAGCCCCAAAGTAAGCACTGTAAGGCTTGTGTTATGGTATGCTAGGGTAACGGATAGAATACATATACAGTACATATATAAGTATATTTATATAGAAATACATATTAAACATCCATGACTGGAGTACAAATGCTCGTGTTCATCACACAAACATCTGCTCCCACCGGGATTCGACCTCTCGAGTCGGCGACACCATGAAACCCGGCGTACAAACCACTCGGCCACGGAGGTCGTCAAAGGAGGTGGTTAAGGGACTACACACAGCTGCAAGCGACGGAATGGCGGACTTCGTCACCAGGATGTAGGCAATCCAAGGAGGCTACGCCATCCCTAGACACAAAGCTGACCAGAAGCCTTCTGCGCCTGGACAGCATTGCCCTGAGACTGGTGACGGGGACCATCTCCGGATACTGCTCACTGAACAAACACTTTCCCACTATAGGTATCACTGATAGCCCCCTTTGCAGAGCATGCATGAAGGCCGAAGAGACGGTAGCACATGTGCTCCTTGAATGCACAAGTGTCGCCCAGATCCGCAGAGACTCTCGGTACACCGGAATCCCTCGCGGATGCCCTAGAAGACTGAGAACACTGATCTGCTTATAGAGGAAGGTGGGCTGGTTGGAGTAATCGGCCGCTATGGCTCACGTACAATGGGCCACTTACAAGGTAATAAATGATAATGGAAAAAACAATACCTTAATATCAACTCATGCTACATTTACTATGGTATATTTATCATTCAAATACAACAAGGTCACAAAAGCTTTCTTTAGTCATTCATTAAGCTTAATAAACAGATCAACTGATAAAAAGATTACTTATTAAACTCTTTGTTTCTTTATAATGTCCAGATTATAAAGAAACAAAGAGTTTAATAAGTAGATCTTGATGCCACTATTGGTTTAAAAATTCAATGTTTTAATGTAAAGATGTGTAACATAATTTTTCCTTTATTGTCATTTAAGGCTGTAAAACCATTTTAATAAGATAATTATTAGGTTAAGTTTTTTTTTATTGTTAATGTTAGTACTAAGCAATCTCTGGAGTTATAAAAGTGATATTGATGCTTTTTTTTACAAGCTTTTATTTAGCTTGCACCATTCCTATGTAATATGTAGCTTCAAAATTAGTAAACCATTTTTCAACCACTTCTTGTTCCAGTAGAAAGAAAACGACCATATTTTATTATCGCGCATTCGCGCCGAACTGTCAAACCCCATAGTAATTGGACATCGTACATGATAAAACAAGCTATTTTTAATATTAAAACAAAAATTTCACCAGAGAAAATCAAGGTGGGTCGCTAATACTCACTATATCTATAATCTGTATGCTTAACTTTTAAAAATAACAAGTTTTAATACTTAACCAAAGTTAGCATTATTCAAGCACAGTCAAAAAATATCTGAAGGGAATACTCACAGGATTATATTGTAAAGCAGTAACATATGCTTGCACTGCCTGTTCCATGTCACCGGCAGCCACAAGAGCTGCAGCCAGGTTGATGTAGCCATCGATGAAGTCTGGCTTTAGTCTCACCGCATGTCTGTAGTTTTCCAGGGCCTCTTGCAACTGTCCACGCTCCTTGTAGACATTACCAAGATTGCTAAAAGAAAGAAAAGAAAATTTATATTTCATTTTGTGTTTCATGGAAGTAAATTAGTCATTTAAAATTTGTATTTGACTTTTCAAATTAATAATACAACCATGATTAGTAAGAACAATATTTAATCAACATTCACACATGCTGAACTGATTATGATGTTATATTGTTTTAAACTTTCATGGTCAATAACATTATAGCAATTAATGGGATTGTGATCATGGCGCTTGCAACAGTGCCGAAATATCGGAGACTCGTAAAAAACAAGGTACATGGTAACAATCCCGTAAATAGCTATAATGATTATGATGTACTTTAGAATGAAGGTAAAAAGAAATTTTGAATCCATACAGAGGGATAAAGGGCACTTTTGAGAAGGATGTAGCTCCAATAAGTTATAAAAATAAAACTTGAATGAAAAGGTTGAAATATTGGATGTCAGTCTGAATAAGAATCCAATGATTTTTTGCACATATAGCCATGGGCAGCCACTAGTACAAAAATACAAAAATATAATTTCTAATTAAAATATAATTGTATTATATAATTGTTGTATACAACATTACAAAGGGGCCAGTTTTTTCTCTATACAACTTTGCCCAATCATTTACCAGTGTAGTATTATCATGCATTTATGCTTAGCAAAATATGCTGAATTCATAAAAAATATAAATGATCAACAAAAGCTTGAAAAAAAAAAATATTAAGTCCCATCAAAATACTAATGAAATAACTGAGGAGGTTGGCTTAAACATTGTGTACATAGCTTTCCACTGTCATATCCATGTTGAACAATGTAACAAAAACAGTTGCATGATTGGGTAAATTATACTTTCTGGGCTCACAAGTCGTTACATCACACAGGTTAGGTTAGTCTTTTGATCGTGAAGCTCAAGCCAAGCAAGCGAAGCAAGTTTGCTGCAGCATTGGCCGACAAAGCGCTAAACAGAACTTTTAACCTTAGAACTGAACGTTAGACCTTTTCAACAATAAATTGTGAAATTTCACCACCCTGGGCCCAAAAAGCAAGTTTTACCACATGATTTTTGACACAACCAATTACGATCAAGGAAATGTTTTTTTTTGTGTCTGTGGCTTTCTCCATTTTACATATAAACCAATAGTGTTAGCCATCATCTGTCAGTCAATGTCTATCTGCGTCTAGGTAAGTAATAATATTTCTTTCAATTATTAATATTTTTTTCAAATATATCTTGCAAATCTCATTTTTTAAAATATTTTAATTCGGACTCGCAAAACTCTTTTGAATTTATAAAGAATTGGGATGAGTGAGCCTTTTTAAGTATAATTTTAGACCTTTTTGACATAATTTGTACCTAGATACACAATTGTGCAGAAATCAATTGTCTCCTTTATAACCTTTTTAATGAATAGACTTAGCTTTAATGTGTTTATAAAGAACAGCCAAGATTTAAAAATAGTTAATGCTTCATAGATTAATGTGCTGATATCAAATAAATACAAAACAGCTAATTCTTAATTGCTTGTCAGTGCCAAAACAATATATTTCAATGTCACACAAAGATTTATGCATTAAATATTGTTAATAGCACAGTACAACATAGTTTTGCTACTGATTTTAAGTACCTATGTTATGTTAAATTGTTTCCTTCTTCTTTTTATAAGGCTTGCTTTGTGAATTGTCACAATTTTTTTTTCCAAGATAGAAGTTACTAGACCAAAATATATAATTATAATTATTAAGACTCAAAATCAAACGTATTCTTTAATTGATTGCTACATAAACAAGCAATCAAAGAAGTATCTTTATTTACATCTTGCCTAAATATTACACTCATTATAAGCAAGCAAAAGATTAAATATCATGTGAACATACTGACCTATAGGCTTCAGCCAAGAGAGGGTTCTGTTTAATAGCCAATGTGGAGAAGTGTGCAGATTTGTCAAGTCGCCGACATTGAAAATGAATAGAAGACAGTAACAGCAGCACCCCAGTGTTTGTCCCGTCCTGTCGCCATAGCTGCATACAATGCAACTCTGCGCTTTCATAGTCACCTGCCTGATACTCGCGATGAGCAAGTTCCAGAAGCCCTGTAACAAAAACTTACACTAATTTACTGAAGCTAAAGCATAAATAATGTCAACAGATTACAGTGTGACTCAATAATTCCATGGAAAATTTTCATTGACAATAGGTACCGGAAATCAATTCGGGCAAAATAATATTTTTTTACGATACCAAATGTAAATTAAGGCTTTACTCACCCACTGTTGATATTTGTTGGATGTCAGACATTTTCAAGATCACGGCATTCGCTGGAACGCCAACAATTTGTTGAGATTGCGTTGTGACAGACTGTGGCACGGCAACATTTGCTTGAGGTTGCATTTTCGTTATCATAGTTCAATACATGTGTTATTAATGTTAAGACGACGTCGTTCACATTACAATTTCGCAAGAAATAATATTTTCCAATAAGTCCACATTAATTTGTTACAAAAAGCAGAGCCATTTTCCACGCACATCACAATCACATCACAAAACCAATCGTCGTACGCTGCGCTGCTTGCTCATTTGCGCGACGGATAAACCACAGACTACTACTACTAAGAGATATGGGATAAACGCAAACGGAAACAACTCACTTTTTCATGCTTCTCTTGTCTATGCCTTCAGGCATTGATGTATTGTTCACAAACCCAGTAAAAATAAAATTGAACTTTATTTTCAATGTGCTAATACTGGAAATGAGATCATGATTTTTGCTGCCGAAAGTCTATGGTATTTTACTTAGAGGCTCGTTCATAAACTACGCTCCAGGTGCAACGTATGTCGATTGTGATATAAATTCCATACATTTGATGTCAAAATTGAAACATTAGGGTTAAAAGTTGCGTTCAGAGCGTAAGTTTGGAACGTAGGAATAAATACAAATAATATTGAACTTCCTGGCGGAAAAATTAATTTTCTTGTCCGAATGTCATTGTATTTTTTATGCATAGAGATCATAGATTTATTTTCTTCGTCAAGTTCGCATGTTGTTTTTTTGGACTTTCGGCTAACAAGGTTTTGTCCAGGACAAACACAGAAGAGGTTGTATTTAAATTTTTTATAAAGATTATTCATAAATGTATATGGCATTCCGCAGAAAGCTTAATGGTCGTAGCCTAGCAGACATATTAACGCGGAAAGAGATCGTCACAGTATCATCTCAAGCAGTGTCGGTAGCACTAACCATATCGAGTTCGATCTCGAACCACGTCAAATATCAAAAAGTTTTGTATGGAAATTTGAACAACGCCTTAACGGATGTAACGAGAATTAAAATTGTTCATTTGACGCGATCGAGATCGAATTCAAGTATTCCAATTCGATGTAGGTGCATGTGAAGGGTACTGTTCAGTATTATTTGTATGAAACTCTAATGCAACGTGCACTAATCGGAATAACGTAATCGCCTCGCCTCGGGATGAGCTCCCGAACGTGTGTGGTGAACTCTCCTTAGCCTAGCTTAAGTAGTTAACACTTATTCTTCTACTAAGTTATTATTACAGCCTACTTAGGCATAGCACAACCACTCGGTTGTGCTATCCTGTAACTAAAGTCAACCCTGTCCTGAATCCTTGAATAGCTTTTATCATAATATAACTATTTTTCTTAGTTTTTCTCAGTTACTCCGTGATCATGGCGCTTGCAACAGTGCCGAAATATCGGAGACTCATAAAAAACAAGGTACATGGTAACAATCCCGTTAATAGCTATAATATTTTTCTTAAATTTATTGGTCGACATAGGTTAGTTAGTATGGTACTCGGGGTGCTACGTCGGAAATCTCCTCGTGTGCCTGGTCCATTTCCTGTCCCTGGTCAGTTATGATAGGGGAACGAAAATGGTTTCGTGACGGTGCACCCCGGGCGCCTGCGTAATGTCTCCCACTGGGGGTGCGATTACGGAGATGTCGAATAGCCGACAATCTCGCAACCCCGCACATATTTATTTTTGACGTGACAACGTCTTAAATTAGGTTGCGGCTGGGAGTCACTTATGAAAAAGTGTAACGCTCGGTAACGTTACGATGAGTCTCTCGTGTTAAGTTTAAGTTTACATGTACAATGTTTTAGTAAACAAAATATATTTCTATAGTTAAAATTTGTGCAATTCTTATTTTCATTCAATTCCTTGTTCCTATTGTGCAATTTAATTATATTCATATCAATAAATATTCTACCGAGAAAAAGACGTTGTCACGTAAAATCTTCGCCCGTAAAACCGACTTTACAGGCAACCATTTTTTATTTATTAAATCTTTATTGCAAAATTACAAAGCAAATGGCGGACATAATGCCATAAGGCATTCTCTACCAGTCGACCAGTAAGAGCGTGGGAAAAAAACTAATATGGCGGGGGCGCAATTAAGACAAAGGAGATTGCTCAGCTTCCATACATGTTTGGCCTAAAGACCAATAATCATGAAAAATTGTTTCCTAGATTCGAAATTATATATAAATTACTGTAGACACGAATATTATTGACGGACACCCCTGAGAACTTCTATAAACCATATACACTGAACATATTAAAATAATAAAAAACAAATAAGTTATATAGTAAACTAGGGAAATCAAGCCAAGTACCGAAATTATGGATTAGATTCAGGTATATAGGGCAAGTAGATTAACAGATAGTTGCCTGTTTTTAAAGTTAATGCATAAGAGTAACTTTTAAAATCTGGTGTCATTTCCGGTTAAAATAAGGTACTCTGTGACAGAAACTGTGTGATGATTGTGAATGAGCCACAGATTAGAGAGAATTTTTAAACTCTCGTTAACCAAAGAAAGCTAAGAGATTTAGGTTCTATAGCCATATATTCAGTAGCTTCATTATTTTCGTTATGTTTTTAAGATAACCATATTTGAGACTTTTAGTGTATCACACCTTATAATTTTATTTATTTATTAATTTATAGTCAGGGAACGTAGGCCCATAGATAGATACCTTAAAGTCTAACATATATTTATTTTCATATATACAGATTATAATGTGCTTATGGAGGTGTTTGGCGAGAAATGTATGGTAATAGACTTTATGATGTCGCCTACCATCTATAATAATTGTCTGAGCACATTTGCATCTACTGTAAAAGATAATATAGTTGTGAATATTAATACTGCAGTGTAATAAAAAATATGATTTATTATATCGATCTTTACAAAATAGATTTGTTTTTATGTTATATAAACAACTTCGATCACTCTTTGGCTGAAAAAATTTGATTAAAAAAATCTGTGAATGCATTTCTAGTTAGTATTAAAAAAAATGGGTGCGTGTACTTATGTAGGCGCGTGAGAAGTTATCCTTCTTTGGCATCGTTTAAAATTACTTTTTAATTGCATGTAAATAATTAATTACAATAAATTAATAAAAAGTCTGGAAAAGGACACAGTCAATAAAGTTCAGTTTTAATTTGAAAAAATAAATAAATAATCAAAATATTCAATTAAAATCGCTACTGAATATAATTTATTAGAACATATGTGATTTGCACTTGTATGAAACTCAAACACGTATTCCGAATATACAAACTAGAAACATGTGGATAAATATTATAAATATGAATACCTATAACTGTTACTTTATTACAAAAAATAAAGATGTGGCTTTTGGTTCTACTACACCAATGGTCAAGAGATGGCGCTGTAGTCTCCTGAATCGCGCTTTGGTTCCGTTGTTCCAGATTAATAAATACTTTTGATAGGCCTTCACAATGCAGTCGTTAGCACCCACTAAATAGAGATTCTATTTCTATTTTGTTGGTAGATTTTCTTAATGTGCGGTAAACACAAAAGTAACGCATGAAGTTGGTCGTTAAAGCGACCAACTTCATGCTGTTAAAATTTTGTGTTACAGTGATGCGCGCGCATCTTAAAATTTCACTCTCATAATTTTTCCATAACGCGCCTAAAGAAGTATAACTTCAATAAAATGATGTCTTCTTTCAGTAAAATAGGATATCTAAGATAGGATATCTTCAATATTTAATATACTTTGATACTTTCCCTCCGTGTGAGGTCGCTGTGGGACGCCCTGTATACATACACTAGCTGACCCAGCGAACTTCGTACCGCCATAAAAATAGGGGTTGGTGGTAGAAAGTTGAAAATTTAGGGATGTATGTATTTTTGTATGATGTATCATAAAAAAAAATATATATCTAAAATTTAAAAAAAAAATTTAGGGGTGGATTACCCTTAACATTTAGGGGGATGAAAAATAGATTACACACGATTCTCAGACCTACTGAATATGCATATAAAATTTCACGAAAATCGGTCGAGCCGTTTCGGAGGAGTTTAACCACAAACACCGCGACACGAGAATTTTATATATTAGATATACACACATACAATACATACATAAGTACACGATTATGCCATGAGCCGCAAGAGGCGATCGGTAGCATCTAGCTACAGAAATAACGCCCTGTAAGTGGCGGCACCCGCGCCTAAGGTGCCCAGAGCCAGAGGGGGCAGAGGAGGCAGAGGCGGCGGAGGACTCTGACTCCGGCTCCACCTTAACCGAGGCGTACACATCTACCTGCAGCGACGGAGAGGCTGAACCTCGCAAAATGTCCGTAGAGGACCTGGTGGCGGTGGCCTCGAAAAGGGTTGGCGAAGTGACGGAGGACGGCGAAAAACCTCAAGGGGACCTCCAACACAAAGATCCGAGCCAATGCAGGTTCCCTGATGGCTGTGGTCCGCGCCCTAGCGCAGAAGGACGCGACAGAGGAGATGCGTCGTCTGCGGGCAGACAACAAGTGCTTGCAAGACGAGCTCTCGAAGGTCCGCCACGAGCCCACAGCTCTAAGGAGGGCATTCTCGGAGGCAGGTGAAGGACGCCGCAAAAGATCGGCGGCACCAATCATCGTAGACACCCCTATGGGGGTGGGCGGCGTAGGCTGCGGAGGGGACGAGCTCACAAGGACGCTGCAAGAGATACAGCACTCCCTCGCCCAGCAAATATGCTCCAGGCAAGGTTAGAGGGCCTGGAAGTTGATGGGCGGCTCCTGCCTGCGGCGGAGAGACCCCATCCGCCACTTTTGGCAGCATTGGCTGCCAAGGTCTCAAAGCCGCCTAGTGTCGCGCAGCCGCTTGGGGACGGTAGGGTAGCCCCAACGACACCCTTATCGCGGCGAGAGCGAAGGACTGGGAGGGGGCGGTCCGCCTTGCGTCGGTCGGCACCTCCATGGTCGTCCGACGCATCCGCCTCCTGGGGCTAGAAGTGGCCCTCGTCTTAAGACGAGGGCCATGGTGTTCTATGGCCCCAGACGCAGGCCGGGGCTCCGTGCCCGTCTCAGTGTCTGGGTCGAGGGGGTCCGGGTTCCCGTCGAGATGCACATTAAGTATCTCGGCCTGATCTTGGATCACCGATGGAGCTTCGAGGGGCATTTTAGGCTCCTCGCTCCCCGGCGACGGCGCATACGTCGCACGATCGGACTCGGTCGGCTCCTCCCTAATGTGGGGGGCCGAAGGCGTCGTTCCGTCGCCTTTATCACTGACTGATAAAGTCGATGGCACTATACGGAG